TGTTAAAATTATATCACCTTTTTCTTTCTAGGTTTTTAAAATCTGGCTGCTAGAACATTTCAAATCACATTTGTGGCTCATGTTACATTTTTAATTAGTCGATGCTTCTCTAAATCATGTGATCAAGGGATCACTGAACTCCGGCGGCAGTCTACTTCAAGAGCAAGTGCAATTCTTTTGCGTGGAAAGCCATATAAAATGAAAGCATAATATAGCACAAACTTGTACAGACAGTTTAGGGTAGTATCTCTGAATAACATATACCTCACTATTACCAGTTTGCAGTACCTGCCTCTAGGAAAGTATTAATTTTTTGAAGGAGGAAGAGAAGGAAGAGGGAGGGGAAGAAAAAGAGAGAGGGAGGGAGGGCAAGAGAGAGAAGGAAGGGGACAATGGAAAAAACTGTTAATTTCTCGGTTATCTTTTCCTATTTAGAAACTAGGGCTCCCTAAAAAGAGGCTTCGAAAGGAAGCACTGTGATGATTTCTTCTCTGAGTTATTGGGAGCATGTTTAATAGAAATAATTTCTGCACTGATTTTTATCTAAGACCATTATAACTTCACTTTGGTGCACTTCTCTGTAAATATACACATTCGTGGGCTCCAACGCTTATTTTAGCTTTGTGTATTTGCTCCTCTGGAGTCAAATAATTAGGGACCTGGAGGCCTTCGCTGTTTCAAAGCACCAAAAGTCATGGATATCACTGGTAGACGCAGCTGTGTATCTCAAATACATGTCTCAAGATGCTGCCTTATATAATCCCACCAAATATTCCATTCTGCTTCATCACCATGGTAACCAGAACCCTGCAAGCACTCTGGGCTTTGATCATTTTCTGACGGCATTCAACACTATTTCTAACACTTCATTACTACTGTAACTACATGCGAGAGCTACTATAAGCACAACATCATTCATTTTATCCATTTCTCACTCTCTGGACTATGTTTTCTTACACAGTGAGTAGAAAGAAGAACTTATTTATTATGCACATATTATCAGAAGGTATTTTCAGTCAAGGAAAATTCTCCATTAAGATATTCACGGCTGGGCAATTGAAGAGGCTCTGACAACTTAGATGAACGGCTTCATATAAAGCAGGAAAACACACCTTCGAGAGTAAAAAGAGAATTTATTATATCCAAACAAGGCGTTCTATAGAAAGTCTGAAGTTTTTCATCCACTGAAATGCACTTTTTCACTCTGTTCACAGAGTGAAAAGGCCAGGTGAGAGGGAATACAGGGGCGTCGCTGAGGTGCTGGATGTCCTATGGCTTTATCCACGTACAAGCCGCACAGGTGTGTTCAGTCTGTAAACAAACACATCTATGTGGCGAGCATCTGAGATCTTGCTGCTTGGCGTATATCATCAGTTTTGGCTCAAATGAACTCACAAAAATTCTTAAAACAAATACACTTAATATGTACTTTTCTGCAAGTATATTACACTGCAATAAGTTTATTAACCAGTTTGTGAACTCGACAAAGAAAGAGAAAACACAAAGGAAAGCGAGCCAAAAGATAAGCATGAACAGTAAAAGTAATGCTGGAAAAGAAAGGCCAATGTTAAACGCTGATGCTATTCCAGCTGAATGCCCACTTCAATCTACTTTCCCAAGTCCAAAGCTGGTCCAGAACACACTGCTAATGTTGTTTGTTTTTTTTTTTTGTCCCCTATAAGCACTGTGCTTCTGTTTTCTTTTCAGACCAACACAAATATAAGGGGAAGGGGAGGGGACAACCAAAACAAAACCTTCTTTTAATTATTCCCAAAGAAATCTCTATTTTAAAAGAAATGTGCAAAAACTAATCAACACTTGGAAGTAGAAAGGTGTTTAAATTTACAAAACTCAGAGTAGTCATGGAGGAGTCATTCTAGATATTTTCTGAAAATGCTGAGAAAAAGAGAGATGAAATCCAAAAGAGAGTAGATGGTTACAGAAGATTTAGACTAGATATTCATCTAAGCATTACGAGTCTAAATTAGGAAGGAGGAACAAGAAAGAAAAAAATGAAATATGTAATAGTAAATTGAAAAAATATTTTTTTCTGATTAAAAAATACCTCAGGTCTCACACCCTACACAAAAATTAACTCAAAATGGTTCACAGACATAAATTTAAGAGCTAAAACTATAAAACTCTTAGAATAAAACATAGGAGACCTCAGTTAGGCAATGATTTCTTAGATGTGACATCAAAGTACAAATGATGAAAGAGAATAATGACAAGTTGGACTTTTTAAAAACGAAAAGCTTTTGTGCTTCAAAGGATACCATTGAGAAATGAACAGACAACCCAAATGATAGGAAAATATATATTTGCAAATCAATATATCTTACGAGGTACTTGTATCCAGAATACACAGAGAACCACTACGACTTAAAAAATAAAAAGCTAAATAACACGATTTGAAAAACGGTCAAAGGATTAGAATACATCTCTCCAAAGAAGACATAAAAATGGCCAATAAGCACATGAAAAGATGCTCAACATCATCAGTAATTTGGGAAATGCAAATTGAAACCACAATGAGATACCATTTCACACCCACTAGGATGGTCATCATCAAAGAGACAGATAATAACAAGTTTTGGTGAGGATGTGGAGAAAATGAAACCTTCATACATTGCTGGCGGTACAGTCTTGGAAAAACAGCCTGGAAGTCCCTCATAAGGTTAATTACAGAGTACCATATGACCCAGCAATTTCATTCCTAGGTATATACTCAAGAGAACTGAAAACATATGTCTACACAGAATCTTGTACACAAATGTTCATAGCAGTATTCTTCGTAACAGCTAAAAAATGCAAAATAACTCAAATGTCCATCAACTGGAGACTAGATAAACAAAATATGGTAAATCTGGACAATGGAATATTAATCTGTAATAAAAGGAATGAAGTACTGATGATACATGTTGCTACATAGATGAACCTCAAAAATATTATGTTTAGTGAGAGAAGCTAGTCACAAAAGACCGCACATTGTATGATTCCACTTATATAAAATCTCCATAATGGGTAAATCCACAGACAAGATTAGGGATTGGGGAAAGTGCAGAGTCACTGTTAATGGGTATGGGGTTTCTCTGGGGCGTGATTAAATATTCCAAAATTAGATTCTGACGCTAGTTGCATAACTCTAAAAATATACTAAACCATATAATTGTAAATTTGAATGGGTGAATTTTTATTGTATGAAATATAGCTCCATAAATGGGAGAAGGAGGAAAAGAAGAAAGGGTCAGAGTTACGTGAACTATGATATTTTAAGAGCTGGGAATAAAGGAGTTTGAGAGTCATGCGCCAGAAGTTACAGTAGAATTTTTCATGCAAACTTTTAAACGGTTTCTTTCTTTAAATCTAGCATCCCTTAAACTTTATTTGCCTTAATTTCAACAGGCACAAGGAGATATATAAGAGATGCTAAATCTGAAGCTAGCAACGAGTAGGTGGCCATGGGTCTGTATTTTCACAAATTCCTCCCGAAGTATTTGAGAGCAGGGATTGTTAGTTTTATCTTTGGATTATCTGTACCCGGTACAGAATGTGGCACATACTGGAGGCCAAGTAAATGCTGAATAAATAAGATATTCCTGATATTAATGGGGAAAAGGGAAAAAAAAGTCTAAGTATGCAATTTAAATGGTTTATAACGATCTAGGGGGAAAAAAAGACTTAAAACCTGGGCATACTGAAGTCATTTTTGGAATTATAATAGTAAAAGAAAATAATTTTTTAAAAAAATGCAATTAATCATAAAGCAAAAGAAAAAGCTGATCTCAAAGATCTCTTCAGCACGAAACAGGAAGTGGCAGAGTGAGGCGTTAGCACTGTCTCTGGAATGCTCCATTTAACAAGTGTTCTTGAAGCACCTGCAATGAGCAAGGCCCTGGCTTAGGTACCAGAGAAACAGTGACGACAGGGCCCTGCTCTTGGAGATGTTTCATTTTAATGAAGGAAGACAACATAAGCAAATAAATAAGATCCCTTGAGATAGTAATGAGTTTTATGAAGAAAATTAAATGACTATCGGAACAAGAGAGTGATTTAAAGCGTAGCTTCAGATAGAGTGGTCACGGAGGATTCTGTGACCTTGTGTTATCTTTATCATAGTAAATGTTTTTTTAAAGATATATGAACTTTAAAAATAAACTCTGCCAGTACAGTGCTAAATATAGGGATGTAGAATACAATTATAAAACATGTGAAGGAAAGGTTGCATTTTTCCCCAAGAATAAGTTGTAAATTAAAATAACCCATAATCATTCACTCCTATGTTGAATTTCAAAAATAAAACCTATTTTACCTATAAGCATTTATTTATTTATGACCGGAACTAAGCTAATTAATGAAGCTTTAGGTCGGAAGTAAGTCAATATGCTAAGGATCTCAAGAACTAAAATGTGGGCTAAATCATTTAAACAGAACAAAACCGTAAAAATTATTTACCCACCACACACAAGCATACATAAAGAATACATTCTGACAAAAGCGCATATAGCTTCTTCTACCAGTCTGTGCAGGGCACGCATAACTTAAAGTAAAAATAACGCTGTCTAGAACACTCCATCGTTTTTTTAACCAACAGATATTTCAAAATAAGAAAAAGAACGAATAAAAGAAGCAAATAAACAAATGTACAAAAATGTAATAGGAGAGCAGCCCCGTGTTCACCTGCATTATGCATTCATAGGTGCCTCAGTCTCCAACACCCCACTGTATAAAATCGGATGTAAATCGGGTATGATGTGGAATAATGTATCTAAAGCCATCTAACGAAGTAGCTCTCTTCAACTTGACTAAAACAGCTACCCTCTTTTCCATTGTTCTTTCCTCTGAGAATGAACAGTATCAAAGAAAAAAACACAATCACTTCTAGAACAGATATTTATGTAACATTCTACCCACGACTTTCAGAAACTAACCACACATCGGCCATGGGAAAAAAACATACAGAATTAGGGACAAGTTTTATGCATCGAGAGTCCACTAACCTTAACCCATTGAACAGCTGCTTAGATTTATCCAGAAGGTAACAAAAATCTGTAACCGTTTTCCTCTCTCCTTGCGGGATGTCATCTTCAGCACCTCCAGACGACATGATTTCTTTAAGAGCAAATTCAGTCCTGTAAGAAAACATGTGTCCATTTACCAAGTAGGTGAAACTAAAACAAGAAACAGACCTTAGTTACATCATCTGATAGAATTTTTTTTTTCAAGACAGAGAATTCTTTCTGATTACAATCCAATCAAGGCAATAATTTAAGTGTGAGATGGTGGGAGAGAACAGATGATCTCATATTGTCAGTGGGACTGAAAAGTGGTCCATCCAATTTTCCAAAAAGTTGGAAAGCAACTTTTAGAATATATTCTTTCATCCAATAAATATTATTTGAATGCCTATTGCGTCAAGGCACTCCTTTACATGGTTATGAATAAAAAAGGGTGATATTTTTGATGTATCCATCTATTTGATCCATTCTATAAATCCATCCTGTAAAATGATCCTACAAATGGAAAACGCTTTATCTATAAAGATATTTATTTCGGTATCGTATTATTTAAAGGCTGATAACCTAAAAGAAGCAAAGAGGGAAATAGTTAAGTACTTCATAGCACTCTAATGACTGCACACTACCCTATCACTAACTTACCATTATATTTAAGATAGAAGGTAATAAATAATATGGGGATGCCTCAGTACAAAAAAAGGATAAAAAAAATCACACTCACACACAGAGGTATATTTTAAAGCTATATGTTTTTGTGCATGTTGCAATAAGACTTTATTAACACACAAACAGTGTTAATAAAGTGGAGGGCTTTATTAATAAGGTGGAGGGCTGGATTTGGTCCATGGGCCATAATCTGGTGATGCCTGGTTTAAGGGGCACAGAAATTAATAAGCAACATAGGAGGAGTCCAGGCAAGCACAGAGTCAGATGGAATTGACACGTCTCTAGAGTGTTGTGGAAATGAATGGAGGAAGTTGAATTTGACTGACATACAACTTCTCACCTATGCATGTACTAAATAAACCAAGTACATCTGATTGGCAAACTAACAATAAAACTGTGCCAGAATACTTACATCATGAACACAGAAAAGAATTTTTTTTCTTTGACTATTTATTAGTAGTTCCAGTAGGAAAATGAAAACCATTTCAAATCCAGCCACTACGAGTAAAGCTCTATTTTATTGAATCCAAACTATCTTCATCTGTAATTGATCATGTTAAACAGCCATTTTAAAAACAGCAAATCGCTTTACAGTATATATCGTATGAACCTACACTAAACATGGAAACAAAAAATTCATTTGTGTTTACACATGGACAGAAATCCCTGGGACAACACAGGGAAATTTGATTCTAGTGTAGGGTAAACATATGGGCAGAGGAGACAAGGGCCAGACGCCAGAGATGGCAGTCGGGGTGTGGTGCAGTTGTTTTGGTGAATATTTTTCTCTCCAACGTGGTCTGAAACAGGCAATTGCGGTTGCAAGGCAGGGAAACTGTCAGCAAGCCTGTCAGCGTACAGGTGGCACGGGGCCAGCTAGTGGGGAAGTCGTTCACGACAGGTACGGATGCACTGGGTGGTCTCTGCATGTCCACAGAGTCCCTCTTCCCACCACCTCTCTCCACACTCCATGGACTAGGGTTTTTAAAAGAAGGAAAACAGATCTGGAAAAATGCTGAGCCTCGGAAGGGGTTTCACAGTGTAAAGACCTTGGGTAAATCCTCTTCCTCCCTTCCAACCCAACCTTCATTATCTGAACCCAGAAGGGGAGGCACAAAGTAGGCAGAAAAAAGACTAGCTTTCTCTGCTCTACTTTGCATACCTCATGAGCCAAGGCGGCTAATATCTCCAGGACATGGCAGCTCACAGGAGAACAGCAAATAAAAGTTTAAAACGAACAGATTCGATAAGGAAGGACATTAGAAATAAAGCAGGAAGGAAATGTCACAATGAAGCAAGTAAAAATACTCGGTATGAAAAATATAATCACTGAAATAAACTTAACAGATGATGGATCAAAGAGGAGAAAGAATATAGCTGAATAAATTAATAAGCTAAAATATCATCAGGTTTAAGGTATTCTGCCAAAAGACAGCTGGAAGAAATAAAGTACATAAAAGAAAAACCAAGAGATATGGAACCGAGAAATGAAGGACATCGGCATCCACATAACACAGAGAGAGGAGAGAAAAAATACATGGGGGTGATGAAATATTTGCAGACATAAATTTCCCAGAATTAGAAAAAATATAAGATCTCAAAATAAAAGAGCTCGAAGTGAAAAAAAAAAAGGGATAAATAATTTCACAGCTAGAAATATTAAAATACAATTTAAGAATTCCAGAGACGATCTCTTCCTTTCCTCAACAATCCATTAGCTGGCACAGTGGGTAGCCCGCATGGGTGTCAGAGGCCACATCCACACAAAGGGCCAGCGTGCATGGGATGCGGGAGCCGGCGTGAGGTGAGGAGGGCATCCGCCAGGGTGGAGAACTGGTGGGGGGAGTGAGGGCCAGCCGGGGGGGTAAGAAGCTCATCTCCACCGGGCGGGGTTCTGAGGCAGCAAGAGATCTGTCTTATGTAGGAGGATTCACCAAATTAGAAAATCTATTAAGGACAACTGGACCCAGAGCTCCCTCTGTAAGAGAAGGGAGATACCAACATAGAAAGGGAAAAGGTTGAAATGTATGCTGTGGATTGAAACTGGAGGTCTGGTCAACCAGTGGGTTTCTAAAACTATAGACACATATGTGCAGGGTGTGTATGTGTGTGTGCACATAAGCACACGCGTACATACACCTTAGCTCCCTCAATCTGTCTACTGAGAGGGCCTCAGAGCAGTGACAACCTCCACTCCCTAATGGTACACCTCGCACATCCCTAGCACCCAATCTTGGCTTCTAATATCATTCTCCAAAAAAGGGAGCCCGAGCTCCTTGGAGAATTGGAACTGGCTAATTACAGCATTGGGGCAGAAAAAGGACAAGATGAATCCGGAATATCCCATGCCAGAGAGCAAGAAAGTACTCAAAAGATGAGGGATGTGTCAAAAGGACCTAAGTGTCCACCAACAATAAATGATGAAGAAAATGTGGCATATATACCCAATGGAATATTAGTCAGCCACAAAGAAGGGGGAAATCCTGCCATATGCAATGACATGGATGGATCTTGAGGCCATTATGCTAAGTGAAATAAGTCAGACAGAGAAAGACAAATACCATATGATCTCACCTGTAGGTGGAATCTAAGAAACGGAATTCATAGAAACAGGTAACAGACTGGTGGTTGGTAGGGGTGGGGATGGGGAAACAGGTGAAAGTGAACAAAGGTACAAACTTCTAGTTATAAGAGTAAGTTCCGGGGACATAAGGCACAGCATGGCGACTACAGTTAACAATATCGTATTGTATATTTGAAATCTGCTAAGGAGGCAGATCTTAAAAGTTCTTCTTATAAGAAAAAAAAACTGTAATTATATGAGGTGATGGTTGTTAACTAAATATAATGTGGTAATCATTTTGTAATATGAAAAATCAATATGTTGTACACCTTAAACTAATACAATGTTATATGTCAATGACATCTCAATAAAACTGGAAAGAAAAGAAAGAGAGAGAGAGAGAGAGAGAAAGAAAAAGCAAGCAAGCAAGCAAGGAAAAACAAAGAAAGGACATAGGATCCAACGTGAAGGAGATCCCAATGACCAAACTGGGGATAATTTCAGCATCAAAACAAATGATAGGAATGGATTACAACCTACTGAATAAAATAAGAAATTATGAAGCAATATTAACATAAATAAATAATGAATAAATGGAAAGTCTGAGAGTGAATGGGATAGTTTCAGAGTACTTCACCACTAAAAACAGATTCATTCCAAAAAGAAAGAGTAACTTCACAGCAGTGAAACCTGGCAGACACCACCTTGATCAAGGGATCAAAGAGAATATCATTAGCAATCAGACATAGCGAAGTCCTGTACCACGTGATAGGATGCGATGAGCAGTGTTGTTCCTGACAAAGACCTGAACTTGAATCGAATCATGAGGAAACAGACAAAACCACACTGGGGAGACATTCTACAAAAATAACCAACCTGTAATCTTCAGAACTGTCAAGGTCAAAAATGTCAAGGCCGTTCCTCCAAAGAAAAGAGAAGACCGAAGTGCACGGCCTGATTCTGCATCTTCCTGCCATAAAGCATGCTATTGGGACAACTGGTAAAGCTGGGACGGGATCTGAGAACTCGACGGTAGTAACCAATGTTAATAAGAACATGTTACTTTGCCAGTCATCAACAAAATACGCACCCGATACAGCAGAGTTAGCACATCAAAAATATACTAATTACAGGACTTGAGTATACACTGAAACCAGCATATTTGCTAAGGGCAGTGTAAATGTTCAGATCCGGGAGATTCCCTGTATGTATTGGGGAATATATTCACACTATTAGACCCAGCAATCGTACTTCTGGAATTTAGCATAAGGAGCAAGTGAACTATCATTACTGATAAATTACTCATAACCAGAGAACTGGTGAAGACCTGTCAGCCAGTCTTGCATCTCACTCTTACCCAATTATCTGATCTCCAACCACAGTGAAATACCTGCGAGGCTCTGAACAAATTCTACTCTTACATAATATTACAATTTTGCATGTTATTCTCTTGGCCTATTTTGTTCACCCGGCAGATTTATAGACATAGTTCAAGACATTATTCAAATGGCACCTTTTCAGTAAAAACTTCCTAGAAAATCTAATCTTTCCCTGGCACTTACATAAAATCAAGTCAGTAGAGGCTTCTTCGGCGACTCCATAAAAAGTTCTCATGTAAGAACTATTGGTTTATACCATACGGTTTTACTTATATGTAGAATCTAAAAAAGAAAAAACAAAACAGAACCAGACTCATAGATACAGAGAAGAAACTGATGATAGCCAGCCAGATGGGAGGAGGCTGGGGAGCTAGGAAAATGTGAAGGGATTAAGAAGTACAAACTGGCAGTTACAAAATAGTCACAGCATAAGGAATATAGTCAATAATACTGTAATAACTATGTATGGTGCCAGGTGGGTACTAGACTTTTTGGGTACTTAGTGG